AATGCGTCGGTTGGTTCCCCAGACGGGCATTGGGACGTGCCGAGGTTGAAACCAGGCACGTGACTTTATCGTCAAATCAATCATTCCAGTTGCCAATATTACAAACAGCCACCTGAACACTCCGCCGTGGAGCCAACATTATTGTTGGGGAAGTATGTTCTTTATCACGTGAAGCAGTGTAATGATTCTTCTTTTGGATGCTGGGGATCTCGGCTCCATCCTGGATCAATACTTTATGTATCTTTGGAACGAATATATTGCGAGATTATCTCACTCCGACGAAGCATTTAACTTGCCCTTCTCACCTACTTCTCCGTCTCCGTCGAGATGCCATCAACTTTTTATTACGTTGTAGACTCTCCGCCTCAGATGCGGACGTCCAACGCGCATGGAATAGGAAGATTGATGCCTGCCAGATTAACCATGATATATGGTCCAAAGAGCCATGGAGAGTGCTGGAGCTTACACAGTGATTGTATTTGCTCTTCTCAATTCCTCAGGACACAGATCCCAATGTGGTCAATTTCAGTTGGCCACCTCTATTTTCTGTGCTCCTCAAGACGGGACCGAAAGGCATGTAAACCCGATCACCGTCCACGAATTACATGCCTCATTGACGTAGAGAGTCTCCTAGCCGCGGAAATCCCGAGTAACCGGATGCTACCTATGAGTCTTGACACAGGATCATAAGAACCAGTACCATAGATCTACTACAAGCCTACGTACAGTAGGGATTGAATCAAGATATATATCGTAGGGAAGCAGTCGGATGAAACTTCCGAAATACCTTGCTCGGAGTATGGAGTATACTCTCGATACACTTCCTTCCACTGCCTTCTTTATTAGTTGCTGATACGGAGCAGTCAGATTGGGAGAAGCAATAGTACGGAGGTATACTTTCGGATTGTCCTCGCCGAGATGTAACAGTGGCTCCATAAGGCCACAAGACCATAGTACCTTACCACCAAATGGGAGCTTGACTCAAAAGAGTATCTAGTGTAATGGACTTCAAACCCCTGCTGTGCTTGCTCTCCAAGGCACCAAGATATCCAAGATTATGTACTTCGTAGGTACCTTGTAAGTTGTAGTTCGATGCTGTATCCTCTGAGGGGTAACAATTCAAGCACGTGCTGGCTTCTGCCCCAAGATAAGTCTCCACCCGAACATGGTCAGGCTAAGTCACGCTAAGCCTTAACCCCAGCCATCCATTGACCAATGATAAGTACTAAATCATTTTCGGCCCCGGCATCACCAGATCCACTTGCGATGTCTTGACGCTTAGTCTCTTGACTGTGCATTAGTTTGATCTGTGGCTTTTGGCCATTTCAATCAACCATGTCCCATCATCCCATGTCGAACACTTTGGAAGAGCCAACAGAGAATTGTTATCAATAATTATTATGATCAGTGAATAGCCATCATCGTTGAATTCACACTCTTTGCCTGTCGAATCAGACGAGCTCTCCTGGTCGCGTGGTTACACCTACCTAGTCGTTGGCACCTTCTACTTCTGGTTTCTCAGTAGCTTGTCATTTCTGGCCAGTATATATTGTGGCTTTTGGCGTAACACGTGCTGACAGCTGTGGTAGTTTGTTGATTGCTTTGCCCACATATATAAAGCTGTCAGATCATCTCAGTCTCCGAAATCTTCTCACTGTTGATCATTGCCTCATTGGTCTTCTCATCGTACATAGCAAACAGGTCTTCAAGATGAAGTCTTCCATCGCAACTTTGCTTGCCACTGCCTCGCTGGCCTATGCTCAGACGGCTACTGAGAAGGAGCCTTCTCTTTCTGCGATAGAATCTGCAGCAGCTTCCATCAAGCCTTACTCTCCAGTTTCGAACGTTGAGGGTGTTGCATTCAATCGCTTCTTCCAAGTGTGGCTTGAAAATATTGTATGTGATCACCTCACCAGTTAGAAAATCTCTGTTCAGAGCTGACCTCAGAAGGACTACGAGGATGCTGCGGCGGATGCGAACATGAAATGGCTGGCCTCGCAAGGAATCCTGCTGTAAGTTCTCATATCCGCCATTCCCTCACGACCTGGAACTAATTTACCCCGCAGCACCAATTTCTTTGCAGTCACGCATCCTTCAGAACCAAACTACTGCGCTGCTGCTGGAGGTGATACATTCGGCATGGACAATGACAACTTCAACCAGATTCCTGCCAATGTCTCTACTATCGCCGATCTCCTGGACACCAAGAACATTGCTTGGGGAGAATATCAGGAGCACTTACCTTATCCCGGATTCCAGGGGTTCAACTATTCCAACCAGGAGACCTATGCCAATGGCTATGTGCGCAAGCATAATCCATTGGTCCTGTATGACTCTGTCACCAAGAACAGCACTCGTTTGCGCCAGATCAAGAACTTTACCAGCTTTGAGGACGACCTGGCCAACAAGAAGCTTCCTCAATGGGCTTTTATCACTCCGAACATGACCAACGACGCTCATGACACCAACATTACCTTTGGAGCCAAATGGGAGCGAAGCTGGATCGCTCCCTTGCTCAACAACTCATACTTCATGAATGACACCCTGATCTTGCTTACCTTCGATGAGGATGACACTTATCCTAAGAGCAACAAGGTCTTCGGTGTTCTTCTTGGTGGTGCCATTCCTGACGAGCTGAAGGGTACTCAGGATGATACCTTCTATACCCACTACTCAGTCATTGCTTCCGTGTCCGCGAACTGGGGCCTTCCTTCTTTGGGAAGATGGGATTGCGGCGCGAACATCCTTGAGATCGTGGCAAACAAGACGGGATATGTCAACTACGACGTTGACACAACCAATCTCCGTCTCAACGAGACCTACCCCGGTCCCATGTCAGCGGGCGAATACTCGAAATACTCCCCTGTCTGGCCGAATGCCTTGACCACTGGCAACTGCTCTGCTGGCCATGGCATTCTGGACATTGTCAAGGAGACCTACGCCAACACAAAGCCAACATACAACTACACGAGCCCCTTCCCCTATGACACTGCGAGTGACTACAACACCAAGGTGACTGCCACTAAAAAGAATGTCACCGGTACAAAGAATAGTTCTTCTTCCTCCTCTCCATCGGCTAGCTCCAACGCCGCCGTTTCTGCTGTCGCTCCTGCAGCCGGTGTCTCTGGTCTCCTCTTGGGACTTGCTCTGAGCCTGCTTTAAATCTCCAACGACATGATTCTACTGACGTCATGATATGGGTAAATATTGGAATGAGAACGCAAGCAGGTCAACGGCCTAGCACACGGGAATCTGTCCATAGAAACGAAGATCTGTACATTATAGCTTGACATGATTAAAATAAAAGATGGTATCTCCTGCTTTAGGCTTTCAGATAGTAACCGCCAGTTCTGTCCCGACGATTCTTTAGTTCCTAGGATATTGTTCAAGATTCTGTTAGAGGTTTGATAGAAACAGCTTTGATACAGTCCTCGAAGAATAAACAAAATGCCTAATCAGCCACGAAGGATGGCACGTCCATCCACGTAATATCAGGCAAGGCAACATAATAATACATATGACTTGCTTGTAGGGCAGCAGTTCAGACCCTCATTTTTTGTTCATTTGGTACGTTGTATGACCTTCGCAATATCTTAACGTGTGCCCTATGAATAATTGTACATATGCATTATTAGGATTGGATGAATCTACCGAACATGTGCTTCGAGCTTCACATCTTGGAGATTCAGAGTATCATCACCAGGACGACGTTCCGAGTCCTTTCTTCAATGAATCTTCCGAGCAAGTCCTTCGCGCTTCATCTCTTGGAGGTTCAGAGTATCATCGTCACCAGGACGACGTTGAGACTCTATCCTCACCTTATCCTCCGGCCCACCAGACGCTTGAAAGTCACTCGCCTGTGAGATCCTGCCGCGGAATGCGAGTCAGTTCATTGAACAAATAACGGAATTTCACTCTAGCAGAGTCCTTGTCTCACCTGCCACGGTCATCTCGGCTGCCGCCCTCATCTTCGGGGATTGGTTTACGATCGCTGCTGGAAGCGCCAGCTTCTCTGCCGGTCTTGATGCCGGTTTCCCCGAACTTCTTGTCGACCATTTCGTTCACACCAGACTCGACAGCTATATAGAGGTTAGCCTCACGACTAAGTAGGCATGTCTTGCAAAGCTAGAGGACATACTGGAATCGCTCTTACGACCAAGACCCTGCTTGGCCTGGTAGGTGTTCAGGTCTTTCTCTGCCTCGTGGGCGATTTTCAGATTGCTGTCGTAATCGGACATTCTGGCTGATTTCTGTAGTAGGGTATGCGAGATGGTGTAGAGTTGAATTGTAGATAGAGTAGTCGTGTGCTGCCGATGTTGCTAGCGATGAAAATGGTCCAACCCAGCATAAAATACCTGGGATCTGATTTCGTCCAGCATCACGGACCTTGGACAACATTGCATCATACTACATCATGTCGATGTCACAGAACCCGCTGCCGAGACGAGCGCTCAGCTTCCTTTTGGCGGTTATTGTCCTCATAGTACGCCAATTGCTTGAGTGAGTGGTAATCTGGCCCACTTCTTTCGATCAAGGCACTTGTGCAGTTCCCAGCTGGAAACTGGCCATGCGACAACGGAAGGGTCGTCTGCTCGTTTGGGGATGGCTTCATAGTTCATCTGGAACTCAGGCTCTCAGCCCTAATTTAGCTTTCCAATACGGTCTAGCGTAGAGGGTCAAAACCTAGGGCTGCAGCGGGACGGAAGAATGATACTCCAAGGTTCCCGCTTTGGACTTGCGGGGACTGGGAAGTAGAAAGTAGAAACATTGTACAAAGACAGCTTCGTGGTTGGACCGCTCCGAGTTCTTAGCTTTCTTTCAGTTGTTTTTCTTTTCATCATCGCGCGTTTTTGCATCATTTCTGAAGCGGTAGATCGAAGTACTCCACCAGTCCTGAACATATGGCAAACTAGGTGCCTGAAGTTCCTATCCTGGCCGTGATTTGGTTGAGATCTGCTACAATCGAAGTCAACAGCTGCTTTCCTCCACTGTCGCCAATTATGGCCCAGGTAGTTGAATTACCTGGCGAATCCAATCCGCTGAACCCTCAAAACCTCCTCCATGCGCTTGCACTCGCAGCCAGCTCGACACAGCAGCAGGTGCAAACAGGGACCAAGCAACTGCAACACTGGGAAAAGCATGAGAGCTACTTCACTCTACTTCAGGTACGTCGGTATTTTCCTGGTGCAATTCCTGCGCTTACCTTTTTTATACTCTCCGTCTTGGATATTGACTAAGCACTTTCTCTCAGGATGTATTCCTAGATCAATCGTTGCCCATCGAAGTTCGCTACCTATCCATAATCCAGTTGAAGAATGGCATTGATAAGTATTGGCGGAAGACTGCGACAAAGTAGGTCTAGGGTCACTGATACGCATACGTCGAGCCTTCAACTGACATCTCAAAGTGCCATCAAAAAAGAAGAGAAAGAGAGGATAAAGGTGAGGGCGGTACAAGCTGGGGTGGTCGAACCTGCACCTCTGCTTGCCCTTCACAATGCTTTTATGATTGCCAAGATCATGCGCTACGAATTTCCACAAGACTGGTCAGTGCTCTCTGTTGTCCTTCAAGGATGTCCGTATTCTGATATCTGTCAGGCCAGATGGAATCTCAGCAATCATTACCTATCTTCGCTCTTCAACGCAGCCCGGCGCCAACCCGTTGCAATTACCGCGGACACTCACAATACTACTGCAAATAATCAAGGAATTGTCAACAGCTCGGCTACAGAGAACGCGTGCGAACCTTCAATCAGTGGCACCAGAGATCTTCCACCTTTTGGTCAATATTTACGTGGAGAAGGTGAACAAATGGACCGTGATTCTAGAGCAGGGCGGCGTCGATGAGGCGGCACTACTTGATGAGGCAGAGCAAAGTCTTGTTTGTCTCAAGGTTCTTCGGCGTCTGATCATTGCGGGATTCGAGCACCCCAATCGGGATAAAGAGGCTCAGGACTTCTGGCTCCTGACCCATACCCATTTCAGCCGGTTCTTTGCTTTTGTCAATGGCTCCGTGCCTTTATCGGAGCAAGTTCAGAGGTCGATAGAGAAACATCTGCTCAAGTTGTCGAAACTTCATGTCGAGATGGCAAAGGAACGGCCCGCATCATTCGCCTTGCTGCCGGACAGCATTCCCCTTGTTCAATCTTACTGGACCCTTGTTGTCAAACTCGGAGAAAATTACAGCCAGCTGGGAGAGGATGGTGACTCTGACGGCAAGACACTTATGGAAAAGGTGGGGCTCAGAGCCCTTCTCTTGATCAGGGCCTGTTCCAAAATGGCGTTCAATCCTGCTCAGACGTTCAAATATCAGACCCCGCAAGACAAAGAGGAGAAACAACGGTCTATTGAACAAATAAAGTCGGATCTTTTCACCCATGAATTCGTTGTCAGTGTCATGGAGCTCTTGGTTACTCAATTTTTCCGCTTCCGGAAAGCTGACTTCCAAGAATGGGAGGCTGAGCCGGAGGAGTGGGAAAGGAAGGAGGAGGATATTGCTGAAGCCTGGGAATTCTCCATCCGATCGTGCTCTGAGAAGCTGTTCCTCGACCTAGTCATCCACTTCAAAGACTTACTGATCCCACGACTGTTGAATGTCTTCTTTTCGTTTGCAAGTAAGTCCGAGTCACCGAGGAGGACGTTTACGACCACTGTTGACCGTTTTCCCTCCAGGTCCCGAGAAGCGTGACGTACTGCTAAAAGACTCATTATACTCTGCCATCGGACTGGCTTCCGCAAGCTTAGAGCAGCAATTGGACTTCAATAGTTTTCTGGAGACAACGCTTGTCCAAGAAGTTCAAATTCAGGACCAGGGTTACAATGTCCTTAGGAGACGAATTGCCATCGTCCTTGGGCAATGGGTACCAGTAAAGCCGGATGAACTCAACAGGAATGCCATCTACCAGATCTTCCAGCACCTTTTAAGCAAACAGGATCCCTTGAACGACCTGGTTGTCCGCATCACGGCTGGTAGACAGCTCAAGAACGTGTTGGATCCATTCGAATTCTCCCCTGCCGGGTTCATGCCCTATGCTCAGTCCATTCTCCAGGATTTGATGTCTCTAATTCAGGAGGTCGAACTTCCTGAAACTAAGATGGGACTTTTGGAAAGCGTTCGTGTCTTGGTAGTAAAAATGGAGCATCATGTATGTACCCCTTCACCAACTGGGCTCAACGAGTCTGCTAACGCTCGTTCAGATTGCGCCATTCTCGGACCAGATATTAGCTCTACTGCCTCCATTGTGGGAGCAATCCGGCGAGGAGCATCTCATGAAACAGGCCATTCTAACATTGATTTCGTCCCTTATACATTCTTTGAGGCAGGACTCGATCAAGTATCACTCTCTTGTCTTGCCCTTGATCAGCAGTTCGGTAGAACCAGGCTCTGTACGTCCTCGTTTCTGGTCCTTGACCTCAAGCAACTAACCCAAGAATAGGAGACCCTGGTATATCTCCTTGATGAGGCCCTAGAGCTCTGGTCTGCTATCCTCACCCAAACACCTGCACCGGCGTCTCCCGAGCTTCTTGCGCTCATCCCTGCGTTGTATCCTATATTCGAAGCCGCCACGGACAGTGTCCCACAGGCCCTCCAAATCGCAGAGTCCTATATCTATCTCGCCCCCCAGGAGGTTCTTAGTGACCGAATCCGACTTCCCCTTCTCGTCTCATTCGAGACCCTCCTACAATCTACCACCCGGCAACGCATTGGCGTTGTCCCTCGCCTCGTTGAGCTCATGATCCGCGGCGCTGAAGCGGTTGACGGAGGAAGCGAAAACACATACAATATCATCACGCGCTCCCTCATTGACAGCTCATTCCTGCAATCTCTCCTGGAAGGTCTCCATTCCGCCTATGAAGCTAGTCAGACGACCGGCCCACGCCGGAAACCAACGTCGGTCTACGGTGTCGTGGAGACGGATTACTATTCTGTCCTGGCTCGTTTAGCCCTGGCATATCCTAAGATCCTTGTCTCCGCCGTCTCCGCCGCCACACAGACCCCCGAAGAACAGGTTCTCTCCTGGCTTCTCACGGAATGGTTCCTGCATTACGACAATATTGGCAGCGTGACTCAGAAGAAACTGCATGCGCTCGCTCTGACGCAACTTCTCGCATTGAACGGCCCCGATACTCAGCCACCCACCTACATTCTCAACCACCTGCAATCATACATGAACATTTGGACGGATATCGTCACGGAACTTGCGGAAGGTACCGAGGGTGATCCCAACGACCCCCGCAGCGGCGATTATCTCATCTACTGGAACAACGCGCCGAACGCCAAGTACGATGGGCCTGAGCCGCCAGAGAACGAACGCCGACGGCATTGGGAAAGCTCAGATGTGATCCATAAAATCAACATCCGGGACTTTGTGCGCCAGCGCTTGCATTCTCTCATCATGGGGTGCGGTGGCGAGCAGCGGTTCCAGGAAGAGTGGCTCCTCAATGTAGATCGTGAAGTGGTGGCTGCATTTGCGGCTTTGGGACTGTTTTAGTGGTTTCTTCGGACATTCTTGTCACATAGTTCAGAATACCCCTATAGATGAATATGATTGATGAGATGATACCAAGATTCTATTGCACATAGTGATCGATCTGAGGGGCAAGGAGACATAAGTGACGAAGACAATATACAACAAACGACTTCTCCTTGATTGAATGCTTAGACAGACGCTCCTCTGGCGAGCACAGCGGACTCAACCATGATGAAAACAAACTAGATTCCCACCGGGAGAGCACTAAAGAATCACGCGTCGATGTTTTATCTGCAATACCGATCAAGATTCGCTGCAGCTTCCCAATGCCCCTACCAGATATCTCGAAAGTTGTCGGCATTGAGCCACCAAGATTGCTCAGCCGTATCTTCGGTACAGTGCGAAAATTTCACCCTTTCGATTCTTTCAGTCCGTTGTTGTCGTTCCGTGTTGTCAGTTGCTGAGGCCGACGGCAAAGCCCAAATTAGGAAAGAGGGCAAAGAAGGAAGAAACTTATTTCATTGGTCTACTCCGTACATTCGCTCATTTATCAGTCACTGAAGCATAAGGTAGGTCCGGACTCCGGACCATTCATGTATCCTAATTGCATGGCGGAGATTTTGCTGGCCTGGTGGATAGTTCAATACGTGACATTACTGCAAGGTGCCCTAATTTGAGTGCCAGAAAGCTTGTCTGATGGTAATCTCAATACATGCATACTCCACCACGTGCTTATCTGAATCCGTCCAACAACATTCTTGACAACAGTCAATCTTGTCCTTCAATGAGCATATCAAACAACTTTATCTAAGGTTTCTGCGACGTCTCCGGATGCAGAAATTTGCGAGCCAAAACCTACGCTGATGTAAGCCAGACGCCATGAAGGCCTCGAAAGATGTTTGGCAACATCACGCCGATATGAGCCCTCTTTCCTTGAGGCTCGAGTGCAGCTAGTTGGTTTTTCAATTGCTCCAGCTAATGATGAATTTTCCGTATTTGCCGAGTTGTCTTGAAGAGGATAACTGTAGTGTCTGATGTGCAGAATAGCTTCTGCATTGAGCTCACTTCGAGGATGCTCCTGCCCACATTCATGAACCCCAGACTGGCCACTGATTCAGAACAAACATACAAATCACTCCGCTGAATTCCACTGCCTTGTTCAGTTTATCCTCTCTTCACATAACACACGCTCCCTTTGTCTGAGAATACTTTGTCCCACTTTCTGAGCATCGCTTATGGCCTAATCCGGAAGGCTTCGCTTGTGGGGTTCTACCCACCAGTGCTACAGGCTCGTACGTAGCAAGTCCAGAACCTTGGCAGTTCAAGATAGGGACAAAGTCTTTGTCTCTCCTCCAGTTGTAAAGCCATTACTCATCATTATTGTTATACCGGCGCTCTTGTTTTTGAACGCATTCCGTTTCCGGCTATTCGCTTTCAACACCAACCATCGGGCACTCAAGCAGCACCAGATTCATGCAATTTGCGGCCAGCATTACTGAATGTCGCTGTTACACAAACTGCACGCTTCTGGTGAGAAAGATCAGTTTTATTGGAAGCTGTGACTCCAATCTGCATGCGGTCGACAGACAACCAGTGCTTTCAGCAAAGGTTTACTTAAAGCAGGGCGTTTCCATTCCTCGAGCACATCTTTTCGTCAACTTCCATTCTCTTTCCCAGCCTCCTACTTATTACGGTGAAGAATTGTTCCTTTCAAGAAAATGATATTCAAATTCTCGCAGAAGGCGCTCGTGGCGCTATTCCTCGTCGTCGTTGGCCTGGTCGAGGCTGTGCCTTCTAAATCGTGAGACTTCATTACAAACGCCCGACAAGATTTGCTGACTGTAAAGTCTAGGCGCATTGTATCAAGAGCTTCCACATACGGCTCCAACGGCATCGTCCGCGGTGTCAACATTGGTGGCTGGCTAGTCCTTGAGCCATGGATCACGCCTTCGATCTTTGATAACGCTGGAGACGCTGCTGTTGACGAGTGGACGTTGACCGCTACTCTGGGACAGGATCAAGCCAAGGCTGTTCTATCTCAACATTGGTCGACGTTCATCACTCAGGATGACTTCCATCAGATTGCTCGAGCTGGTATGAATCACGTCCGTATCCCCATCGGGTACTGGGCTGTGAGTTCTCTTCCCGGCGAGCCGTACGTGGACGGTCAGCTGGAATATCTCGACAATGCAATCTCCTGGGCCAGGGATGCCGGCCTGAAGGTTGTGATTGATCTTCATGGTGGTAAGTGGCGAAGAGTTGCTGCGGCAAGTCTCATGCGAAGCTAACCTGACATCCGAAACAGCACCGGGATCCCAAAATGGCTTTGACAACAGCGGTAGAAAGGGACCAATCGCCTGGCAGCAGGGCAATACCGTTACGCAAACCGTGGACGCCTTCCGAGCTCTGGCTGAGCGTTATTTGCCAGAAAGCGACGTGGTTGCGGCCATTGAAGCTCTTAACGAACCCAACGTCCCAGGCGGAGTCAGTGAGGCTGGGTTGAGAGATTACTACAACCAGATTGTGGATGTTGTGCGCCAAATTAATCCAGACACTTCCGTTTTCTTGAGCGATGGCTTTCTGTCGACGGCATCCTGGAACGGATTCAAGACGGGTGAGGATGTGGTCATGGATACCCACCACTATGAGATGTTCGATAACCACCTGATCAGCCTGGATATCAATGGCCACGTGAAATCTGCATGCGACTTTGGCAAGCAAATCCAAGGGTCGGATAAGCCAGTTGTTGTCGGAGAATGGACAGGCGCTGTCACTGACTGCACGAAGTACCTAAATGGCAAAGGTGTTCCCACGCGCTATCAAGGAGAGTATGCCAACAACCCGAAGTATGGCGATTGCGGAGTCCAGTCTCAGGGCTCGGTGGCAGACCTTTCCGACCAGGAGAGGACTGATACTCGACGATTCATCGAGGCCCAGCTCGATGCCTACGAAGGAAATAATGGCTGGCTGTTCTGGTCTTGGAAGACTGAGGGGGCGCCCGGATGGGATATGCAGGACTTGCTCGCCAACGGGGTCTTCCCCAGCCCTCTGACGGACAGGAAGTTTCCGAATCAATGTGCCTAAACTCCAAGAAACATTCTTAATGTTTTGGATAGTCCCTCCCATCGTTAGGACCTATCTTATTAATGCAGTTTGTTGAAGTTCTCTAAACTGAAAATTCCCTTGCTGGTGATATCTGGTTCTTCATGTGCTGCAGACAGTAGACTAGATATGTGATATAGCAGCCAGCGAACAAATCATCAGAGTATGTTTCTATTTTGATATGGTGGATTTGTCAGGTACCGTAAAGAGATTTCTTGTATATCCGATTGAATTTCGGCTGCTGTATTATTATTTTAACTATTATTATTGTTCTCTGTACCTAACATATTGGTTGCATCATATTCGTGGCTGATAAGCTGTAAGCTCCGAGGCACATGGAATGAGAGCCACATGCATGCAATGATCGTTCCACTGCCCAGGGTCTCTGATTGACACTATGGATACAGCGGAAGAATACCAAAGTTGCAGGAAAGTTACATCCAGTTGGCGGAAGTTCGGAACCATAGCTGTCAACTTTTGACAGAACTTTATTTCTGACATCCCGGAACATAAACTATATCAATTGACATGTCGATTCTTACTTTTGCCAAGTGACAAGACCCGTTCAAGTCAAAGTCAAATGACGTCCTCTTCTTAATTAGCCGGTCATATGCCATCATCGACGCCATTCCCGTCACTACCGTAGTACATTAATCTAAGTATCTGACAGGTAAGACTCGGCCCATCGACATCATGCCATACTCGCTCCGATGTTATTGCTAAGTATAGGCTAGCCGCCCACTACGGGGTGCCGTTTTTGGGAATGGAGCGCATCAATACGGGGCTCTCTCCATAATGCGACGAAATTTTTTCCCTCAGTAAGGGATCACACGACATCTAATTCTTCACCTTTCAAGCAGTGCGCCATTATCTGCAATATCGTTTGTTTTTGCCATTTGCGTATGGACATTGTATTGGATACTGCTGGATTTGAGTCATAAGTGCGAGTTTGAGATGCTCGGATGCGCCTATTCTCCTTAGGTAGATATCCTCCATGTCATAGTGGCTATCTATATGACGATGGTCTTATCGAGATTTCCACAGGACTACGGACGAGATAGAGGACGATTACCCGTTTGATCGACAGATTTGAACCATAGCACGCAAGTAGTGTCGATGTATCTGAACGTAGGAACGCTGCCCAACGTAGCTCTGAGGAAGCACATCCTGGATGGAAATGACACTGATATTGCTAGGTAATACTGCAGGTGTATGCAGCTGTAAACTCGGCCATTCGGCTCCGAATCGAGGCATGCATGCATGCCGGCTCGGAATTCAACGGGTCAGTTGACTGTGCTCTTAATGATGGTTCGAGTTTCCGAAGAGGTAGAGGTAAGCCTGCATTTTTGGGATTAGGTCTAGGATATGACCTCAGAGGAATTCTCAATGGTGTCTCCAGGAAGTCACAGTGATCTATCCGTATAGCGGTGTCTATAGAATTCCATGCAGGATATTCTTTGTATTCATATGGTAGGTATCCTGAGCTGATAGGAGGTCATTTAACTGCAGTGTACGCAGTTACAACAGCCATTCAGCTCGTCTGAAATCATAATCACTGTAATAAATGCCCCACGGTACCACGTGTTTCATGTCTTAAGCTCAGATAGATAGTACTATGATGTCTAGGTATTCTCTAGATCCATTTTTGCTAATGAATGATCATACCACTACGAACCCACTTCCGGCAACCGCCCAAGCGTCCGCTCCAAGGCAGAACGAACCAAGGGGATTCTATCAATCTCTAGCCTGATGATAGGTCCATTCTATTTCTCTGAGCTGTTTCCCGTCCTAGCCTGTTTTCCAAAATGCTCTTCTGCTGAAATGATGTGATCAATTTCAGAACGGTTTCCGATGCCCGTGTGGAGTGCTCTCGGACCAAGGAGGATCACAGTCAAAAAAACGGGATCATGGCTCCAGCC